TTGTAAGCTTCCTGGGTGACCTAGAAACTTTTGCAGTGATCTCTGAGATTGAAAAAACACTTCGATTTCAGGATTTATCTTTGGCCGGTAGCACAAATGCACAATTTCACTTTGTTTATCCATCCATTTTCTACCTGCCTCTTCCAACTCAGGGTCAGGGGAGAGCCGGGGGCCCTTCCCAGCAGGCAATGGGACACCAGTCCATCACAGGGTAGGCAGACGCAAACGCACACGCACTCGATTTCCCAGAAGCCACTTAACTTACCAGTATATTTTTGCACTGTGGGAGGAAACCCACACAAACACAAGGAGACCATACAAGCTCCACACAGAAAACACCCCAGGTTTGGAATTGAACCCCAGGGCTCCCGTGCTGTAAGGCAGCAGGGCTAACTGCTGAGCCACTGTGCCAGAGCACTTTGTTTATCTGAGTCTTAAATGTGAGTCCTACATCACTCCTGTGCCTTAATGCAACCTGACATTTTAAAGCATTTTGAGGTGGCGCTTTGCATGAGGCGCTGTGTGCAACAACAAGTGATCAATGGACAGAAATAACTGTCCTTCAGAACTGCCCTTCTCCGGGGTCATGCTGGGCTGTTATGCGGAACACTGGCTGCTGAATGGCTGAGGCCATTTTCTAACAGTCTCCAAGGATACGGCTGTGGGGACTGGGGGTGGAGAGAAGGAAGAGGGATAGGATCTGCGTAGCTCTGGAAATGAAGGCTGTCACCGGGCCAGCTTTCAGCCTGAACCTCGCTGTGACACTGAGCTCAGATCTCAGGGCCTTAACGCCCACATCCCCAGCTGCTACCCTCTGCGCTTCTGCGGTTTTTACACCTCTGTCTCTTTCATCTTCCCCTCTTCCCTGCTCCAGTCCAGTCTCCCCCATAATCTCTTCTTTTCATCTGTGCTCTCCCCCTCACTCTTCTGCTCTCACAGCCCGTAAAGGACACAGTACAATGTGAGTTGGACAAGCTGGCTCGTCAAGGTATTCCCGACGACTAACTGCTCTCTGTGTATCCTCGAGAGGGATCATGTTTTCTGATGCCAGCTGTTTCACTGCCTTTCTTCTCAAAAGCATTTTCTGGAGATTAAAATTTTGGTACTTATTAATATTTAACGACAGAAGAAAGGCTAAAGGTGAGAAGAGGCCATTTGGTAGTTAGTAGTTAATTGATGTGATGAACCCATCCAACCTGGCTTCAGCAACATGGCTGTGCAGCTTGTTCCATACCCCCACAACCTTTAGGGTATAGAAGTGCCTCCTGTTCTCAGTTTTAAATGCATTTACCCATAGTTTTGTTTGTGCCTTGTTTTTTTGTGTTTCAGTGTTCTTGGTCAGTGTCTTTCAGGATTTCAAATAAATGGATCAGCTCCCCTTGTAGTCTTCTTTGTTCAACAATAAAAAGATTTTGCTCAGTTTAGGAGGGTATTCTGTGATTGTGCTTCGTTGAAATGCATTGAAAGTAGTTGATGTTAAAACATCTTACACCTGTTTTTTAATCTAAAGCACAAATCTGTGATCATTAAAGACAGATAGAATTAATCTCAAACTCTGCTTAAATATAACAATATATATTAAAACATATGTATATTTATTATTATGTTAAAGTAGGTAGCTGTGTCAGCATGCATAGGCTGCCAATATTTAAGCATTTATTAATGTATATAGCACCACAATTATGTTGTTTTTATTTTTTATGTATGTTTATAATTTACTTGAATAAAAAGCATCTACAGTATCTCACCAACTTGTCTGCAAACTTAAGACAAGATTTCACCCCTCTGTCCCTCCTTCTCTCTCTCCTCATTAAGATGCAGCTGGCGTCTCTTCCTGGCACAGGAACGGCTTGTTTGCCTGGCTGTTTTGTTCCCCAGTTGAATAGATCCTCTTCCAAACTTTTCCAAAGGCACAAGCGGACCCGAGACCTGCCCCCGGATTCTCTGCCTGAAGGAGCCCGGAGCCGCACGGGGGAAACTCACAAACTCTCCCCATCCCCACGGCGGCCCTGAAATACCTGCGGACGCAGCCCAGCCAGACACAGGTGAGCAGGCGGGGAGGAGGGAGGGGTCCAGGGGGAATCAAGTCATCGTGGCAGGCAGGGGAGGGAACTGCAGGGGAGCTCATCTATACCTTGCAGCTTCTGCACAGAGGATAGTGCAGCAGTGAGGTGGACAAACAGACAGAGATCCTCTCTTCTATCAGTTTATGGATGAAGGGGACTGTGACAGAGAATACAGTATGGGGCTAGCAGAGTTAATCTATTTCAAGCTCATGTTGCACCTTTGTTATTGTATTGTAAGGGGGCTGTCGCATCTTGTAAAAAATATTACTAATCCACACTTGATAGGAATGTGACAATATACACTAAGATAGTTATTGCTAAATGTTATTGACACGGCGGGGTTTTCATACTGCATGCGGATGTTTTTTACCAGCGGGATTTTTTTTGAGAACATGTGTGATGGGTGTTCAGTTATACTGTATTTGCATTCTCTACCCATTGACTCGTAAGGCCCACCAAGATTGTGATTTCTAAGCCAAGCAATCGGATGTGTGACTTCTCTGCTGAAAATGATGAAACAAGGAGAGGTAAAAAAATTGGTTGATATTTTAGCAAGGGCACAAAGAACAGAACAACAGGTGGGTTTGAATGTAATTGCACACAGGTACCCCAAATGTCCCTGAGGCTTGTGGCCATCCGGATCTAGCAGCTATTCCGATTCAATGGGCCACATGGCAGAGGTCATGAGAGGGAAGTCAAGATTGACTTGTGCTGGCAAAGGCTAGCAGGTACTGCAACCCTCCTGAGGAATGCCAACAGTGTCTGTCTCAAGGCAGACTGTATGGAGATGTGTCCGTGATGCAGGGTTTTAAGAATGTAACGGCTGCTTTCTACCCAATGTCACGTGCAGCAGAAACTGAATTGAGATACAGAACGTGTCAAATGGATCTTGAATGTTTGGAGAAGAGTCCTGTTTCTTTTTGGATTACAAGACAGGAGGGTAAGAACCTGGAGGAGAGTCAGAAACCCACTGGGTCTCCATGTTGCATGGCAAGGACGTTATGGACCTTTGCTAATAGCGGACAACATGCTCTGGCTGAAGATTGCATCCACCTGTTTGTAGTTAATCACCTGGCTATTTAAGGCCTGCCTCAGGGCTACTCTGACTCTCAGTCTTGGCCTTACTTGTGGACTTTCTGCCCAATATCCTGACTGTGCTTTGCTTGACTTCCTTTGTGGATTCTCCCTGTGCTTCCCTTCGGATTTTTCCTGGCTTTGAACTTGTCTTTTACTCTCTTGACTTTGCGTCTGGATCCTCCCTGGAACTGCGTTCTTGAGCTGACCTGGCGTTGACCCCTGCATGTTCTCTTTAATGGACCTTTTGCCTGCCTGCTTCACCACTGCAGCCTTTGGCTCACCTGCTGTTTGCCTGCTCTTGAATCCAGCCTTCAGCCTGTGCCCGCCGCCCTTTTCCTGGAAAGCAATACAGGAGGATTACAGGATTGCTGTGGAAGAGCAATTCCGTGACAATCTTATGGGATGGCTTATTTCCATGTGTGAGCTGAAGGGATGAAATACTTCTTGCAAGTGTCCCAGGTTCCTCTGCAGTTTTTGATGGGTGATAATGCTCACTGGACATCTTGCAGGAATAGTGTCTAGAGGAGCTCCAGTCCTCCCTGCAGGAGGAGTGGAGACGAGTACATCGTCTGAACAGCCGTATGAGGAGACGATGCTGAGGTGTAATTGATGCACTTGGACATACAATATTGACATGAATAAAAACATATGAAAGATTACAAAGGAGAGGAGGAAATTCAGCCCATCTCGCCCCTTTGATAGTTACTAGCCAGTTGTTTCTTGAAAGAAGCCAGGGTATCAGCATCAATGACATGGCTGGATACCCTGCCCCATACAGCCACAACTCTTTTTGTAAAGAAGTGCCTCCCATTCCTTGTGCGAATCCCACTGCACATTTAACTATGGCAAGTAAACTCCCCTTTCTCTGTGTTCCCAGATTTAGGTGCCCTTCTGTGTCGCTTCCAAGCTTGAGCGTTTCTTTGAATATACTTTTACCAGCGCAAATGAGGAAAAATAAGTATAAACAATGATGCCACTACAATGTGCCCTGAGGTTAGCGGGTATGGTGTGATCTCACTGCTGTCATTTTGTTTTATGTTCACTCAAGAAAAGGTAGGTATCCCAGTTTGGGGTATCTGAACTTCATTTCTTACAGTGTGCCTATAGAGAGTCTATGCACCCTTTTCAGAGTAACATATTTTGTGGCCTAACAGCTTAAAATCAAGACATTAATTCAGAATTTATTTTTCATTTATTTACACATTGTGTTTACTCCAGGTGAAAGTACAAATGCTGAGACATTCTGAAAAGTAATTACAATGGGGAACCTATAAAAAAGGACTTTGTATAGACATCCTATAGGCACGATACATAAATGATTTAAATGGGACATCAAGATTGGCTTTGTTCAACAAATTAACATGTCTTCCAGGTCTCTGCCTATAAAGATTCAAAGTGCTAAAAAAAAACAGCAGACGAGTGGCAGTCCATTACTGTGCTGCAGACGTTTATACTCGGAGGGCCACTGAGTGGCTCAAAGGATTCCACCAGGCTGAACGCTTCCCTGCTCCTCGAACTTTCCACAGCCTCCTCGCTGTGTGCGCTGGGCGGTGCTGCTGAACTCTCCTGCAGAGTAAATAGAAGCAGTAGCTGGTGTTCTCCCGCACTGCCTTCAGAGGAAGTGTCATGTGCATGACACTTATGTTCAGATTTAAAATCCAGACATCAAGGCTGGAGGGCAGTACGGTGGTGCAGTAGTCTCAGAGCACTGGGGCCCTGGGTTCAATTCCTGGGGTGTTATCTGAGTGGAGTTTGTGTTCATGTGGGTTTTCTCCAGATGCTTCACTTTCCTCCCATAGTCCAAAGATTAATCGGATCCAAAGATGACTATTATTATAAAGGTGACTTGGTCGTTGGTTCCTGTAGTCCGGCTGCACTTAAAGGAGTTAGTTGTCATGCTTTAAGTGCTATTTGAATGGCAAAATTATGTTAAGAAATGCTCAGCATTGCTTAATCATGTTCAGTGTCGTCTATGAGCCATTTCCTTTGATTTATCTTTGCTGCCATTTGAACAGGTATTGCCAGTTTCGATTCCTCACAGATTAAATTCTTTCTTCAGACTGTTCACCACTATTGCTTCCCTTTTTAAAGGCATAACACTGAATTCCCTCATGTGTACTGCCATTGCTCTGTCTGCATTGTGTGAAGCCCCCTCCTCCTCCTGTACCCTGCTCTGTGTCTGCTGTTCCCAAGCCCACTGCTGCGCCCAGCTCTCTGTGTTCTGTCTAGGCTGCACATTTCCCCGGCATGCTGTGGCCTTTGTATGCTGGATTTGCACTGTGTTTTGCCTCTCCTTCCAGTGTGCCGTATTAACTGTAGATCAGAGAGATCCGATCCTGATCTTCGGGGGGGTTACATTAGAAATCAGCTCATAAGTTGCTTCATGGGACGAATGTAATAGATTCTCCCAGCTCTGCAGGTGCTGGTGCTGTAAAGAGACCTAGTAGAAAGCTTATAAACAGTGCCAGATCTGCAGGACCAGGACTGGACTGCCCTGCTGTTCCTAGTTGTGTGCCATTATTGGGAGTCTCTGGAGAGCATAGTTCAGAAGCGGATCCTCAGAATGGCCATAGTTACAGTTGGAAATGCGTGTAATTCTGGATCAAGGAAGCCTCTTCAGTGTTGCTTTTTAGCTCCCTCATGCACCACAGAGATGTTGTAGAGGATGCTTTCTTCTATACAGCCATTCATGCACTGAATAGTTCCAAGACTTTTTAAGACTTCTTATCTTGGACTTTTACTGTCTGTTTTTACTGTTTTTGTGTTAAGAATGATGCACAACACGGTGTGATCAATTGTGTCCATGTACTGAGATATACCGTATGTCTGTTTAGAAATAATTGTCATGCCTGTGTGGTGTATTTATGTTCTTTGCTGTACTGGATGTCTATGATCTGTGTTGGCAATTAAGGGGGACCTGCAGTTCTAATTTCTCAGAGCGGTTATTTAAATCTTGGAAACACGATAAATAAATGGGCAGGATCGCTAGAGTTGACCAATTTCGAAATTAAGCACAGAATCGTGACCTTTGTGAAAGTACCGCACAGTCGCCAAGTTGTCGCAAACCTCTGGTCTCGCCACAGGTGAGAGTGAGAGTTCCCGCGAATTGTGATGTGATGCAGCCCTTCCTGCTCACTAGTCACTGTAATAACTGATGTCATAAGATTTATGAGTGAATCAGTACAGGTTTTGCAGCAGATATTTCACCACAGAAATCTTCCAATGTGATCCGCATGCAGAGTTAACAAGTAAGTAATACTAATCATGATTAAATAATAAGACGGGTAGAATTTGTCTGCAAAACCATCTCAAAATTGAGAGCAACATTTCTATTGGATTAAAAGAGCTGTATTCACAGGCCTGCTTGTTTACAGTGTAAGAAGGCCGCTTCACCTCACAGAAAGCTTTATTGCCTTATTCTGAATCACAGTCAATGACAGCAATATGTTGCTGCACAAACGTAGATGAAATTTTGTCTCTTTTGTGGTGTAAATTGGAGGTTTTATAAGATACCGTGTACAATTGACTTTCATTGTGGTCTGAAATGCCCTCATCACTGCCGATTCTTTCTGACCACAAAAATATGAAAAAAGAGTTGCAGTTCCCCTTTAATTCTCCCCCTTGGGGGTGAATAAAGTGTGCGGCGTCGTATTGTATCGTATCGCAATCCAGTTCTCTGTGCTCTACTTGACCTCTCACGTCTCACTTCGGTTCAGAACTGCGTGCTGTAACGGCACACCGTGCCGGTGTGTCTCACTCCTCGTGGCCCCCGTCCTTGGTCTCACGCCCCCCGTGTGTGTCCCCTCCCACCCCCCCCCAGGCGCTGCAATGATGCCCCGAGAGGAGGCTCCGCGGGAGGAGTACACGTACGACCACATGCCGACGCTGGAGCGGTCCCGGCGCGGGGACAGTACCAGCTACACGGTGGACGTCAAGCCCAGCGACCTGCGGCGGAGCCCCAGCCTCCACCCCTGCCTGAGCTACAGGACCTGGCTCTACAGCGTCCTGATCGGGGTGAGAGAGAGCGGAGGGGGAAGGGGGGTGGCGGGGTGCACGACAGCCCCCCGGAGGAGAGGCGGGGGAGGCCAGAGGGAGAGCCGGCTGGCTGGAGCGTCGCGGGGCTGTGTGTCGGCTGTAGCGTCCCAGCTCTGGGTCGTTCCAGAATCCCAATGGGGACGTTCAAATCTCTGCTCGAGTGAAGGACTTCCAGGAATCGGCCCAGATCGTTTCCCAAACCCATTCTTGAATGAGCTCCAGGTTCCTCCCGCCTTCCAAAGACACGCTGGCTAGCTCAGGGGGTGTCCCACAGCTCTTCTTGCGGGCACCTTGGGATTGGCCAGTGTCCTGACCAGGGTGTGGTCCCGCCTTTCGCCCTTGCCTTCTGGGATAGTCTCTGGCCCGGTCGCACCCCTTACCAGGAAAAAGCAACTTGCCGAAAACGAATGTTTAAGTGAAAGTGCGTCATTGTGTATTGCTTTGTTGTCTAACTCTTTGCAGGAAATGCTTTATAGGTTTTATGGCACAGCAACTAATGAAGCTGAGAAATCACCCTGGTGATGCCCAGGAACATCAGGTGCTTTGAGGGGAGAAATGACCTGTTCCTCTCATTTATGTAGTGCTTTAAATAACCATGTGAGGTAATGTAGTATGTAGCATGAAACTGTTCATTCCAGTGCTCTATATAGCATAGGCCTGTCTTGATTTTTTTCTGTCTGGTGAAATATAGCATTGCATGGCTGTACTGGGTCTACTGTATACCACATATTGCATGGCTGTACTGCCTGTATTGCATGACATGTACTGCATTGCTGCATTATGTGTAATGCATAACTAACCAGTGTTTTCTCCATAACGTGCACTGCATAACTATACTGGGTGTACTATGTACACATACTGCATCACTGCAATCTGTGTAATACACACATGTACTGCATAACGTGTACTGCATTATTTTACTTGTGTATTGCATTATACTGTATGTACTACCTGGATGTTATATAACACCCAGTGAGAGGTTTGGTTTCCACCCAGAATTCTATCCTCTTTATTGATTAATTGCTTGATTGACTATGCTCCTTGAAAATTACTTAAGGTTTAGTTGGAAACATATCACGCACTATAATGACAAGCACAGCCTTGTTGACCTAACTCTGCCCCAGTGCACTGTACAGCACAGTGGGGGGTGCGCAGCATGTTTCTAATTCATTCACTCAATAGCTCTCCAGGAGTTTCAACAGCTTCTGGAGTGTCAACACATCTCTGTGCCCAGCCCTGGCCCTCATACTACGGTAAAGTGGGAGTCGGACTTCAGGAGGGTTGTTTAAGTGGGTGGATTGACAATTCTGGCAACGAGCACAGGGGCTCTGACCGGTGGGCAGTGAGCGAAGTGTGTTTGTGTTGCAGGGCAGTCTCCTCATCACAGCCGGCTTCTCTCTGTACCTGGGCAACGTCTTCCCTGTTGCCATGGACTACCTGCGCTGTGCGGCCGGCTCTGTGAGTCAAGAGTGTTTGTTTAAATCCATCCCTCCGAGGCGAAGAGGTCTGTTCGAGGGAGACCTGGTGGAGGGGGAGCGTGTTAGGAACAAAGAACACATGTAATTGGGAGTTAGGGATTTAGACAGGCCAGATTTTCTCACCTGTCTAAGTGGGCCATGAGGAAACTGGGTCCAACACCACTGCAGTGGTAAAAAGTGCCCTTGGTTCTTGATTCCAGAAACCCAGAATCGGAGGCCCCCAGCTTACTTTGATCTGAAAGATGGTACCTTGTGTAGCCTGAGGCCCCACCCACAACACTGGTGCAGTTCTTCTCTGAGCTGTGGTCCAGGAAGAAGAGCAGCACCCACAGGTCTCACAGGTTAATTTCATACCCTGTTCCTCAGATACTGTCCATGTCGGTACTGGCCAGGCCGAGCCTGGCTGAGCTCCTGAGATCAAGTCGAGTCAGTCTTCGAGGTGGCACAACAGGGGATGGATTTCCCTGGCAAGGCCCTGGGTTAGCTGACTGTTGACCACTGGCTGTTGATGAGCTAACTGTATCAGGATGATCACTGTCAGTCAGGCGGACGACGTCCTACTCTGTGAGTTACACGTTGCTGACCCTTGACCTCTGAACCCACCTACACCCCTGTGTTTCAGAGCATCCCTGCGGCAGTGGTGAGCTTCGCCATCGCGAAGAACCGGCAGGCCATGGTGAGTGAGGCTCCAGCTCCTCCGTCTGCAGGGCAGAGCATCACTAGCACAACAAGCACGTTCTTAATTATTTAAACAGCTTTGCGCTGCAGGGTTGATGAATGAGACAGCCGGCTTGATTACAGTGCTGCAGTCAGAGGGGAAAGAGGGGCACAGGCTGCTTCCTCTCGAACTACAGCGCTACAAACACGCTGGCTGCACTGCAACGCAAACAAGGCTTCCAACCCGACTCTTCGCCACAGACTGTCCTCCACCCTTTAATTCCTCCCACCTTTGCCGAGCTTCAGCCTGGTTTACGTGTCATGTACACAAGTGCTATGAGATGCTTATTTGCATGTATGCTTCAATACAAAGACATTAAGGAAACAAAAAACAGAAACAAAGACAAGTTAGACAACCAGAGTGAGAAGAGAAGATAAAAACATTCGTGTGAGCCAGTGGTAGGGGTAGAGTTCAGTAATCTGACAGCTTGTGGGAAGAAACTGTCTCTGAATCTGGAGGTTCGTGCCTTTATGCTCCTATAACGCTTACCAGAGGGAAGGAGGGAAGATTATTGTCCTTAGCGATACTTCCAGCCTTCCTGAGACAGCGAGTTGTAAAAACGTCCACAATAGAGGGGAGCTGTACTCCAATGATGGGCTGCGCTGACCTGATCGTAAACATGGAAAACAGCAGGGGCCTCAGCACACAGCCCTGAGGGGCACCTACTGTATATTTACAGTCAGCGTGGAAGAAAGCTTTCCATTGACCCTCACAGTCTGTGGTCTGCCAGTCAGGGAATCCAGAATCCAGTTGCACAGAGAGATGCCGATACCCAGATTTTTAAGCATGCTGACTAGTCTGGATGGAATTATAATGTGAAAGATGGAGCTGTAATCAATGAATAGCATTCTATTCTTCCTGCAACTTCCTGTGCCGATCTGGGCAGTGCCAATGCCTTGACTTCCTG